CCCACCCTCAGCACCCCAGGAACGGGGCAGCTGCACCATTTTACCCTATTTTTGTGTTATTGTTCATTCACGCGAGTGGATGGGCCGGTAAATCCACGCTACATCATTGAGAAATTAAAATCCGGTGGATTTGTCATCCTGGCCAAAGCGCTCGGTCTCAGTCTGTGCCGCTGGGGATAATCGGAAGCTTGGAGGGGGTGGTTGTGGGGTGAGATGGGGATTTTCAGCCCAAAATGTCCCAAACCGGGAGCATTCATGGCACTCAGGCTGGGCCTTGGCTCTGCAACAGCCCTGCCGTGGATTTCCACTCCGTGTCCACTCCCACCGCTTTTCCCAGCAGCGATAACCTCTTGTTCCACGGACAGGATTTTAGGGGGGGATTTATCTCCTGGGAAGCCCCAGGAGCATCAAGGATGGAGGAAAACAGGGGCTCGTAGGGAGCAGGATGCTCCTCTGAACGTCACCTCCTAGCAAATAAGCTATGAAAAACAAAATAAAATTCCTTTTTGTGGGCTGGAAAGGGAAGGGCGCCCATAGATTTTGCCAGGGTGGAACTTTCCAGGCTGTCTCCCAGGGAGGTGGGGGCAGGTGGGCTGCCAAAGGGCTGTTTTGGTGCTTCCAGCCAAAAATCACAACCGGCGTGGGACCGGCAACCCCTGAGGAGCCCCACTTTGGGGACGAGTGCTAATGAGTTGTTTTCCCACTTTTGAAGAGCTGGTGTTTAGAAAGGGGGGGGAAAAAAAACCCCCAAAGCAACCAGTTTTTGGGCAGGAACAGAACCTCCTTTTAGCATCCATGAAACCAGGGCTCAAATTTGGTTATAACACACTTCCTTAAAGGACGGCGTGATCAGATGGCATCGCAGCTCCTCCCTAAATAAAAACCAGATCGCAAAATTTGAAATAACGAGGATTAGAGCGAAAACGCAGGCACCGCGGCCCGTTCGACCCAGCACCCGTACGTGCACCCCAAAGCCGCAGCTCCCACGGGCTCTGGGTTTTGCAGGATGACGATAAGGGGCTGAGCAGCCCGGCCAAATTTGGTCCCGCATCACTTGAGAAAAGCGGCGGTCCTAGGAAAAGCATCTGGCACCATCCTGGGAAATTCCCCAAACCGCTTTGCACTTCGGAGATGCGTCCTTTCGAGGCACAAGGAATTTCTCCCTTTCCAAACAGCCGTTGTAAAAAGTAAATCGGCTTTAAAGGTGCATCCAGGGGAAAATTTATCCTTTGTGGCTTGAAAGGCAAATCTGAAATTAAGGAGAAATTTTGCATGTGCTGCCTGACAGCTCCAAGCTCCCTGCCTCTGAGGTTCCGTTCGCATTGGTGAAGCTCCGATTTAAGCAGCTCTACGAGAATAACACGTTGCTCCAGCCTTCAGCTGAAGAAAGGAGCCGGACGGTCACTTCCACATCAGTAGTATCTCGGAGAGTTGCACTACAGCATTATTAACTTGCAGAGATTTCTGCAGCCTGATAGTCTCAAGTACCAAAAGCAAAACAG